CTTTTCTTGCATCTTTCATTCTCTCTTCCTTTTTTTCTTTCCAGTTTGGTATCTCCAGACACACCAGAGTGCCGGATATTTAGTAGTGCTTAATAAATGTTAAACAGATAAGTTAATATCTGCCATATGTTCTGGTGGGGTTTATCTAAGGTTGTCCCATGATGTTATGAGTCTGGCAAAAGATACTCCAGGTTGGTTTCATTTGTGACAGATCCTTTAAAGGAGCCTCTTAACATTAGGTGATCTGAGAGCTTATTTGAAATATGTGTGCTAGGGGTAGAAGCTGGGGTCTCCCTATCCTTAGTTGCAAGTCCTTAGTTGGACAGCTCTCCACATGGCTTCTAGTTACTTCTCCATGGTCAAACGATTACTGTTCTGATCCATCCCAATCTAAGTACAGAGCTTAGCTTCTTCTCTAGTCTACAAAAAGAGCCTATCTCAACTAAATATTCTCTGTGTAACTTCACTGAATATGCGCAGGGCTGCAGAGCGAGGTCTCGTTGCGCTCCACAGAGTGTTCTACCACTTCCAGGGCTCTATTCTTCATTTGCACTTTAATTTTTTTCTCTTCCCCTTGTAAATAACTTGGACGTTTCTCTCTTTGCTACTGAAAAATTTAATTCTACTCAAACCCAAGTCCCTCACAGTCTATCCTTTCTACTCTCCCCGCACTTATTTCTCAATCAAATGCAATTCTCATTTTTATTCAGATATCTTAAAAACTACTTAAATACCTAAATTAACATAATGCTTGTTCACATTGATATGATTCTATGCTATTAGATACAAACATATTAAAATAATTTAAATTTTTCTTTCACAAGTGTACTTTATCAGCATTATTTTTTAAAAATAATTTAAAAAATAAAAATGACACAGAATTTCAAAACCAGATGGTAGAAAATTGACAGTGAAAAAAAGGCAAATTAGCAGTGGTTATTATATTATATATTTTTATCTTCAAAGTAGTTACTCAGGTTACGAGACCCACGCACGCCAAACTGTTCAAGGCATTGTGCTCGCTTCCGCGGCACATATACTAAAATCGGAACGCTACAGAGAAGCTTAGCGTGGCCCCTGCGCAAGGATGACACGCCGATTCGTGAAGCGGTCCAGATTTTTATGTGTTAATTATTGAAACTGTCCCGCCAACTTGATTTGAAACTGTCCCATTGCTATTTGTTTCTCAACAAAATTATGGGAAAAAAGAAATGAATAAAAGTTGTCTCAACCATTAAAAAAAAAAAAAAAACCAAACAATATAAGCACTGACTGTTTTAAAACTCTGGGGGACATTTCTAAATGCAGTACACAGAAAGGGGACAAAACTTATTAAGTGATATTCCATCTTGGATATAAAGCAGATATTGGAAAATATCAAGATAATATACTATTTCTTTAGTTGTTTCATTCTCCTGTACACCTTCCATCTATCTCAGGCTTGAAGCCCAGACAGTGCTGGATAAAAACCCCAATGGGGCCGTGTACAAGTCACATAACTTGGAAAATCATTGCTCTAAGTCTGTTCCCTGATACATAAGCTGCTGGAAATAAATACAGTTCAATAAGATTGGATCACTTTGTGAGACATGGTGGCTTTTAGTATTTTCTCCAGGTTACTGAGGTTGCTACAACTTCAAATAGCTCAACATCAAGAGGGATTGATTCTCCTCCATCTCCAGCCGTATTTTCCTGGACATCAGCTCAAAGTACAGAGCTTTTTTGTTCATTAAAACCAAAATCTTTCTCCCAACAAAATATGTAGCATAGATAAGTGGACATGGAAGTTTTTATTAAAAAAAAATATGTATTTGATGTAGGGTCTTACTACACAGTTGGGACTTGTAGTGGTCCTCCTGTCTCAGCCTCCCCAGTGCTGGGATTACAGGTGTAATTCCCAGCACAGCACAACAGGGGTTCTGGGGCTGACATAGCATGTAATACCCCAGATCAAACTTGGGTCCTTGTGCTTGCTAGGCAGGCACTTAGGCTGCCGAGCTGTCTCCCCAGCCCTGAAGTATAGTATTAATATGCAGGGTTTTTCTGCACCCTTGTCACCCTATCAGTAGAGCAGTCAGCCCTTACAGTGGTTTAGTTGAACAGGTGGCAGATACAGTACCAGCTCTTGGCTTCTCTGATGGGAGGACCAGTCCTCATGGGCTCTGATGAACCCTCTTTGAGTTGCACAGCAGTCTTGGCTCTTTCTACTCAGCCTCTCTTCCTCCCTGGTCTTCACTGAGAATCAGATTTACACTGCGGTCTGGTCATTCCTCCAGCCTTTTCCTGTCCTGTCCCTGTGTTCCCTTACAAAGGTATTTGCCTTAATAAAACTCTTGTTCTCATTTTGATATCTGATGTGGGTAAGCAGAGTTAGATTTTAGAAGCCTTTTTCTTACCTTCATTCATGCTTCCACTAATTATAGGGGCAGAACGAAGGAGAAAAGGCGCTCTGCCCAGGTCTGCACTAGCTGCCTCTGGGGTGACAGCCACAGGTTACAGGTCAATAGTAGCATCTTCTAGGTTGCAATACTGGATCCAAGGATGCATTTTCTTTTTGGTTATGTTTAAAAATATTTACCATTTTAAATAATTGTTTGAAATTTCATTACATATAATAGTTTTAGTGTTTCATTTAAAAGTGTGTTTATTAATGGAGGACAAATATGAAACTTTTAGCTACTGACAGAGAAAACAAAGGAGCTGTCATACAGCAAAAGAGAGTTGACATGATTGTCTGCAGCAACACCTTATTGTAGAAGGAGCCAACATTGTCAACCACAGCACGAAGACCAGAACTGAACATGAGGAGAAACCGGGCCTCGAGGAATGAAAATTGTTACAGACTAATCTCTGAAAGCAGCCTTTTCTTGGACAGATCCCAAGAAAAAAACCCAACTAATGGTTCCTAAATTTAATGCACAAAGGAGTCACCTGAAGAGCTTACCAAACTGCAGACTTGAGTGAAGATTCTGATTCCATAGGTCTGGGTTCTTGTCATATTTAAATTTAGAACTGCTCTAGACAATTTGTCTGGGATAGTTTGATGTTTAAGATATTTATTTGGAAGTACACGGATAGACTGGACCGGTTTTCTTCAGAGATAATTTTCTCTAGAAAAAAATTTTTTATCTTTAAAAAAATTTTTGGAATAATTTCAAGAGATTTCTGAAAATTTCAAAGGCTGTAAATTTAATAATAAATTTGGAACTTTTTAAAATTTTTCTCATTGAGGTAGTATTATCAATGTACCAAGTGTCCAGTCTCTTCCCCTGTCGAAGGCTAACTGCTTCAGCGGTGGTGGTAAAGATGAAGTAAGAAAGCATCTGTGAAGTAGGTAGGGTGATGTCTTGTACGTGAAAGCCCAGGAGTTGGTAATTTTTTTTTTAAAAATGTATTTGGCTGTAGCAGGATCTCACTACACAGCTAGGACTCATGGTGATTCTCCTGCTTCCAGCCTCCCCAGCGCTGGAATTATAGGCGTGCGTCACTGTGCCCAGACTCTGGCTGGTTCAGCCCACCCTGGGGGCAGGGCTGGCATGGCATCCGGTGCTGGGGATTGAACCGCAGACCCTGTGCTTGCCTAAGCTTGCCTAAGCGGGTGCTTTAGTCCGCTGAGCTATCTTGCTGGCCCTTGGTAAATTTTTTCTGAAAATGAACAGATGGTCAATATATGGGAATTTGTAGGCCACCTGATCTCTGCTGCCATTGGTGCTCAACTCTGCACAGAAGCAGCCAGGGGCAATGGATGGGCGTGGCTGCATTCTAAGAAAGCTATTCCAGAAAAACGGGCTAGCTGCGTCTGGCCCACCAGCGGAAATACGCTCACGTTTGCGGTTAAGGCTGGTGATCTTTACTAACAAACAAAGGAAGCAGGTTTCTTTTTTTTTATTTAAGAATTAAGTATACACACCATTTGTGATTTTGTTTTGAGAGGAATTTGCTTATACGAGCAATGAAAATAGCATTTTTTTTGAGTGTAAATGTTAGTAATATTTTGAATGAACTTTACAAAAAATTTCCACCCCTAGAGATTGCCATCGCATTGCCCTAGGCGAATGCTGGTACCAGAGAGGATGCACAGGGCCCTCACGGAGCCTCCTGCCCCAGCCACGGTTTGGGAAACTATCAGCTTGTATACAACAGCAGACATCATGTTAATTACACAAAAGCACACCTATGCGAACTTATATCTTTAAAAAAAGTTGTTTATAAAAAGCTGTTTTTATTAGGGAAAGCTCTGTTATTGCATTTTACTTTTAAGACCAAAGATTTTTTTTTTTTTTTTTTTTCTAATGTAAAACCTCAGCATTTAGATTTAATTGCAGTGTTAGTGCTTTCCAGTGAGTATGAGCGTTTTGGCTTGTGGTGTAAAATGTCACCATCGCTGTCCTAGGCCTTGGCGCGAGATATCTGAGCCAAAATTGAGAACAGGGTCCACTCAGGGTTTGAAAAGATAAAAAGGAAAACTTTGCTTAAGTCGTCAACATCTTTGATCTTCGCCCTTCCTTCATGGAAAAAGCAGCTCGGTGAACGTTCTTGGACAAATGTTTATCCGTGACATTGCTCAATGTTTACTGACATCAATTACTTGTCTTATTTGTCTTCAATTCCAAGGAAATGTTTGACTATCCTAACTGACATGCTTTTATCAGATGAAAAAGATTCCAAATTATTTAGCATTTTGCGCGGGTTAGCTGCAGGATTAGCGTTCGATACGGGATCAGCAGTCATAGCGCCGCGCAGTTCAAAGCGTCGGGTGGGAGCAGCCG